AAACCCCCCAAAGTACCCCAAATTAAATCAGCAGCTTCAACTATCCCCCCAGAACCAGAGAACATCCCCACAGAGCCTGCAGCATCTCCTGGCCCTTCCCACCCTCCAGCTGGCTCCAGCGTTGCCCTCGGCTGCCTGGAATCCCACCTATCCCCCTTCTAGGAGAGCGCCCAGCGACAGGGGTCCCCATCCCACCTCCAGCTTTCTTCTTTGTTTCATCCTCTGTTCCCACTGGCTCCTCGTGGCCCAAGGTCCCTCTGTCCATAGATCCATCTTGGGGGGCTTCCTTCTCAGCAGGAGGCAGCCTGGAGCTCAGAGCTCCCGATTGCCCTTATTCCCTGGGGGTGTCCTCTCCTTGTCATTGACTTCTCTCCTGCCAGGGATGATGCTTCTCCACACTGTAACTTCCGATAAGCCTCATTTTTTTCCCCCAGAAACAGGACACCACTTGCCTTGGGACCAGAAGGCACTTACTTACTTATTTACTTATGTAGCTACGTGACCTCCAGCTGACTATGTCTGTCTCGGAGCCTCCAGTTTCTGACCTGGTGGACGACCCAGGTCACATGCCTGCCAGCGGCTGTCTGTGACGACTGCTGGTGCCCAGGCTAAGAGTGGAGATACTCCGGCCTCCTGGTAGACGGATCTCAGGGGGTTGACCAGAAACCAAAATCGGTTTCTGACCTCGCTATGGAGAAGCTCTGCTGCTTGGAAGGACTGTGGTTGGTGGAAAGACATACAGATACCCTCAGCTCTTCTGGAAACTTCATCCCCTCCCCACTAGCCCCTCCCCCAGTGGAGGCTGGATCTAAAGCTGTGCTCAGGGCCATACCCAAAGCCGCAGCCCGGGCCCATAGGCAGGGCTTCCTAGAGGGGCCGACCCCGAGACCCTGGAACACCTTCCGCACCCCTGGCTGCTGCCCGGTGCCGGGCTGGGCAGAGCGGAGGAGAAATCTCGGCACGGAGCAGCTCTGCAAGGAGATGGCCGAGATCGGTTTGACCTGCCTGATGAAAGTCTCCTCGTGGGGAGCAGAACAGAAGCAGAGCCCCGGGACTGGTTCACCCCGGGTGGGGCAGGGATGGTTGCGGGCAGACAGCCCCCTCCCCTGCCATCTAGAGAGGCTTCTCCTTTAGAGGGACCCCCGTCTCTGAGGGCTCCCTGTGGTCTGGCCGCTCCTCACTTGTGACATGAGTGGGAGGGGCTTTCTGGCCCCCAAGCACCTGCTTTCTCTCTCCGCTGAGGACACGTGATGGGCCAAGTACAGTGCTAACGGCCCGGGCGGAAGCAGGAGCTGGATCGGCTCGGTCCCTGCTTTCAGACCTGCTCCTGCCGAGGACTTGCTCTCTTAAGAATTCGGACGCAGCCCGGCCTGAGTGGGCACTGGGGAGTCCCAGCCCCCTACCACCCACCATGGCGAGAGCTGCCCTCTCTGGTCTCCAGTTGCTCCCTTGGCTTCTTGGTCCAGACTTTAATCCTTGTTATGATTAAAAAAATAATAAAATAGACATCACAGAAGTGAAGCCCTGCCCAGATCATGAAGGTCATTTGTCCCATGTTCCCCCATATTTTTTTTTTGAAACCTCCCTGCCCAGTGCTCTTGTTTGCAGCATGGCCCCTGTTCTAACTTAACCCTTTCCACTTGATTGACTTCCCTTAGGCTGGCAGGGAAGCAGAAGAGGTAAGCTCGAGCAGGTGGTGAAGAAACTGCAATGGGGCCCTGGGGAGTTGGGGGAAGCGATGACAGACTAACGCAGGGCAGTGACAGGTGGATCTGCTGTTCGCCTGTGATGTTGATTTAACAAATATTAATTGAGCACATACTCCACGCAGGCCTGTGGTGGGCCCTGGGGATCTCGCGTTGGACAAGACAGACAAGCTTCGTGCCCTCATGGTACCGTCTAATGGGGAGACAGAAAACAGGTTAGATAAGTAGGTAGACAAATAAATTCATTCAATTAAGAAGAATTTGTATTGGGGATGAGAAAGGAAAGAAATAGGATTCTGGGATGGAGATGAAAAGGACAGATCCTCTTGAGAGACAGTAACCCAGGAAAGTCTCTCTAAGGAAGTGGCTTCTGGCTGAACCCTAAAAGACAAGAAGGAGCTGGTCTCATGAAAACCAGGGGAAGGGGTGTTCCAGAAGGGGTTGGGGGAGATGTAAGTGTTAAGACCTACAGCAGGAAGAGCTTAGAGGACCCTTGGTACAGATGGGAAGTTGGTGCGACGAGGGAAGTGGCATGAGATCAAGCCACAGAGGCTGACATGTCTTCGTGGGCAGGGACTTCTGCCGAGTGACCCTGCCATGAACTGAGCTGGTGCAGAGGGGAAGAGAAAAGGGTCAGCGTGAATATATTTTGAGATAGAACCGAGGGCTTGCCAGTGGAGGGAATGGGGTGGGGGGTGCGTGTGGGCAGCATCGGGGGAGGGAGGAGGCAGTGACGTCTCCCACATTTCTGGTTGGAACTGTTATTGGCTGAGATGGAGAAGGCTGGGTAAAGGGACATCAGGTTTGGAGGATGAAACAAGGTCAAATGTACTTTCTAGAAAGCACTGTGGAGGCTGGATTAGGGGAAGACGGGCCTGGGGCAAGGGAGGTGAGTTAGAGGCCGATCCAGTGTTCCAGGTGACAGACGATGATGAGGACCACAGAGGACCAGGACTGTGGAGAGGGTGGGCCACCCCCACGTCCCTGTGAACGAGAAAACAGCTTTCTCCTTCTCCAAATGCTAGGGATTCTTTCTGTGAGGCGGCTGAGCAAGTCAGCCAGAGGGAGGAGTGCTTTCTGGAGAACATGGAAGGGAAGCCAACATATGGGCAAGAGCGGAGGTGGGGGCACAGAGAATGGGGTCATAGGAGGGACGGGGCAGAGGCCACGGCCACGCAGTAGAGGAAGCAGGGCCTGAGCACCAGCTGTGCCAGGGAGGGGCCTACCCGGGGAACCAGGAGCCAGCATCCACCCTCAGGACCTGGCTGGCCACGGGCACAGACTCAGGGCGACCCTTTGCTAACAGGGTGACCTCCTTGCGAGGCGTCGGTCAGAGCGTTCAGAGAGGTGGGGTGGACCAGGCTCTGGGATTTCCACCCTCCATCCCAGGATTAGGTGCCCCCAGACACGCGTTCTCCTTGGCCTTCCTGTCTGGTAGCGCTGCCCCTTCTAGCCTCGGAGGCTAGCAGACAGTTAGATGAGGGGGCTGGGGGGGAAGAGGGGTATCCTTTTGCAGGAGAAATGCTGCGGCTAGCTGACCCCAAACGTGGCTAGTCAAGCCCGGACCCGTCAGGATTCTCACTCGTTCATTCATTCGTGCCTGCATCCCTCAGACAGAGCCAGCGGCACGTCTCCAGCAGCAGCCGGTTCCCTGGTGCTGGGGACGAGATGGTGAGCCTGAGCCGGGCTCCGTCCTCAAGAAGAGACAGATGAACAGGGCAGTGCCGGCCGCCAACCCCTTCTCTCCTTCCTTCCTCAGCCTGTCCCACTTCCATTCTTGGTGCTCAGACCCGTCCAGTTGTCATGCAGGGCCCGCTCCCTCTAGCCCCCGGACCTCATGCTGTCCATCTGGGTTAAGCCCCCTTATTTAATCTTGTTTCGTGAGGCTAACATGGCGGGGGCGGGGGCAGAAATCAGGTGTAAAGAGCGCTGAGCGGCGCCTGGGGGGCTCAGTCGGTTAAGCGGCTGCCTTCGGCTCCGGTCATGATCCCCGCGTCCTAGGATCGAGCCCCGAACCAGGCTCCCTGCTCAGCACGGAGCCTGCTTCTCCCTCTCCCGCTTCCCCTCCCTCCTGCTCATGGGCTCTCTCTCTCTCTCAAATTAATAATATAAAATCTTAAAAAAAATAATAAGGAACGCTGAATGACATTTTTCTGAGTTTGGCTTTTATTCTGAGAGCATTTGAAAAGCCATGTAAGTATTTTAGGCCAAGGATGGCATTTGATTTCTATACAGAAAACACCTGCAGGGAGGAGGCAGGACGGGAGGGAAGGAGAGAGGGTGGCAGGGCTGGAGGCAGGGAGAGCACAGAGGGGGCCTTTGGGATAATCCGCATGAGAGAGGACAAGTGCTCCTGGCCAGCCCTGCCCTACGCATCCCACCCGACCCACTGCAGGAGAAGAGCGGACGGGTCTCCTCGCATGGCGTCTCCCCCAGAGGCATCTGCGCGTGTTTGAAGTTTAACCAACATGGATCAGGCAGCTTCCGCTTCTCAGACAACTTCGTGTATAATTAATCCCCTCCAAGCTGTGTTGTCAGGAAAAATTAAACTTCATCTCTCTTTCTTAGAGATGAAGAAACTGAGACTTGGCTTCAAGCCACCCTGAATTTGAGTTGCTGCCACGAACCCAGAGCTGGCAGCTAGAAAGTTCTAGCACACAAGGCCCAGGGGGCTGCGTGCTGCCCCTGTGCGGTTGCCTCTGACAAAACCTTAGAGTTGTATCTAACAGGCCCCGATGGTGGGATTTCTGGCATCCACCCGCCTGCACTAGAAGCAATGAGGAGACAGCAGGGGCTCTGACACTGGGCCTGGGACATGGACATGCTCCCTGGGTACAGCCCCACATTCCTTCTCTTTGGTGGCCCTTGGCCCAAAAGGGACAGTTCTGTAGGTGAGGGGGCCTGGGGACTTTCTTTGTGGGAAGTTTCTCCCCTTGTGGGTCCTGGGGGAGACCTGCCCACTAGCCCACCTACCCCACTCTTTCCGGGTCTTTGTTTGGGAGGTGAGGCCAGGGAGAGAGGATAAGGAGGGCAACTGCTCCATCTGCTGGCCGTCCAGAGAAGCTCCAGCCACGCCCAGGGGAGCGGGAGGAGGAAGCTTTCCTTCCGTGGGGGCTTTTAGGGTAAGAGGAGTCTTGGGTCCTCAAAGTGGGCGTGACAAGGGACAAGGGACATCTTCTGTAGGAGAAGCTTGAGGACAGAAGCCCATTTCAGCTGGTGGCAGAAGTTGTCAGTGCCATTATCTGTGCCCGCGGGGGATGGGGACACAATGGTGAACAGTGTGGGGGTGGGAGGTAGAATATAAAGACAATTACAATCAGGTAAGAGGAACGTTGGGGAAAAATACAGGCAGCGAAGACAGACCAGTTGAGTTGACTCCCTGGGTCCCTTTAGCTGCTGCTCCTGAATCCAGAGGACGAAGAGGAGTTAAACCAGGGTTAAGGGAAGACATTCCAGAAAAGTCCGCTGCTGTCCCTGCTCAGGCCCAGGGCTCGCTGCTCCTTTCCTGTCCCTGCAGCAGTTGGACGACTCAGCACCCTGGCTTCACTGGCCCCCCCAAAATGCTGGTCCCTGAAAACAGTGGCAGGAGATCAGAGGGCCAATGGCTGCTCCTTGCCAGTGGATGGCCCCCTACCCTCACCTTGAGGCTCTCCCTTCCCCCCAGATGACAGCGCTTGGGAGACTTCTCTGAACAGGCATGTGCCCGCTCACAGACCCGAAGCTGGCCGAGGCTGGAAAGCATGGTGGAAGATGGGAGAAGGATCCTGGCTGGTGAATTAGGACCTGACCTCCGCAGGTCCCCCGCAGACGAAGGAAACGATCTGAAGTAAAAGGGAGCGCTGCCCAGGTAGATTTTGGAAGAGCAATTCGAGCTGGCACGAATTCCATCGGTCTGCCCTTCTAATCAATCGGCTGTTACTCAACCATCATCGACTAACACAGGTCAAATCTTGTGTGGGTTCATGGGAGAAGGCGGGACACCAATGAACATCGATCGGACCGTCCGCTGTGTGCAGGGCACTGGGCGAGCTGCGATGGATCCCAGTGCAAGGACACCCGGTTCATCCTTGGGAAGCACCTTCCACCACCCCCACCGCCAGCCCGCACCCCCATGTAGCCTTTCTCTGCTCTTCTCCTCCTCCATGAAACCTGCTCCCGGAACACAGCCGATCCAGGTAGCCACACTGAGCAAGTAAGGGGCTGTTTGTGGAACCGTGCCTCTGGTTCTTTCACTATCCTTTCTCTCCTTCTTGCTTTTAGCAACGAGCACCGCCCCACGCTTCCCGCCACCTCCACCTGAGCTCTGGTCAGACACCTCATGGTGTCTTCCCCACCCACCTGAGGAAGCTGAGTAAGGCCCCATGATTGTGACCAGTGAAACAGGAATGGAACTATGGGGTAACAGTTGGGGTACACCCTCTTCCTCTTCCCCTGTTCCTGTGGGCTGGGAGGCAAGCATGGAGCATAGTGGTGAGCCGGCTTTGCACACAGGACGAGGGCCAACACCTGGTGATTGGCGAAGTGGCAAGATGGCGGCAAGGGGACCCCAGTGCCCTCTGATATCCTCTAACATCTCTCAGCTCATTCATCATCCTGCTTGTTGGTACAACGTGATACTCCATTGTATGGCGGGTGTCTAAGGTCCTGTGGCTACAGCAACATGGATACCAATAGCCAAGAAAGCCCCATTCTCCAGTCAATGGGTCCGCTTCACAGTTCACTGCAAATCCTCAAGATGCCTTAGCTAGGTCACCTTATCTCCACTTACAGGCGCGAGAAAGCCCAGCAGAGTCTTTCCCAAGAGCCCAGGGTTCATGGAAACTGAGATTCTCAGACTTACCTTGAAGAGCTCTTGACATTTCCTCAAACTAAGAACGGTTCTCTCTCCTTGGAGATTAGAGTCCTTTGGCACAAACCAGGGAATACCATTAAGAAATCTTTTTTTTTCCCTTTCTTAGAGCAGTTGTAAAAAGGACAATTAAGCCACTGAAACGTGAGCGCTAAAGAAACCAGGAAGTTGGACAAAAGGCAGTATCATGCAGGTCAGAGGATATTAGTAATGATTAGCATTTGGAAGTCAGCAGTTACCGGTTCAAATTCGTTCTTGTAAATGTTCAACCACTGGAAAGCCTTCGAAATACCAGGTAGCCAGTGGTTTCTAGATGAAAATATTTTTGAAAAGGAATAAAAACTCCCTTTCACTTCTGATAGCAATCTCAGCTTACTGAGCGAAATAATGAGCAGTCTTCTACACGGTCCTGGACTCACTTCCTAGAAATTCGTAAATACCAGACCACAGAGCGTGACCAGTCACTGGACACGGTGCCCACTCTGTGTGTTTAGAGAACTGGCTCGTGTGGGAAAGACTCAAATGTCTGGTCCTCACATCAGGGTCTATGGACCCAAAAATCACCAGAAAGGGAGCCAAAGACAGCTCCAGGTTGAAGTCGTAAGGCAGGACGGGAGAGGCAGGGAGGGGAGAGACGCCGGATTAAGGGGGAAGGTCAGCCATCTATGAAGGATCCAAGTGTCCTCTTCCCAAAGTCGAAGCAGGGATGGAGACACTACTGGCCTTGAAGTGGAAAGATCCAGATTCAAGTTCTAACTCAACCCTGGGCCTCACAAGGTGACCTCTGAGTAGAACACACAAATAACGCCATGACTAGTGGATCACGAGGAAGGATACTGACAGAGCACATGTGTTCTTGCTCACCGTGGTTTTGTTTGTAAGTACAAATCAGCTGGCACAGAAACAGCATCTTTTGGTTCAGGTGATGGTGGACAGTAGTCATCAGAGCTGAACACCAAGATCCCACTTCCCTTTCTTCCTGGTGTGTGGTAGGATTGACATTCCCTGACCTCTTTAGTTTGGTGTGACCGTGTAACTTGCTTGTCATTCCTGGGCAGAAGCTTTAAGAGCAAGCGTGCCATCTGCCACGTTCCCTCACCCCACATCAGTGACTGGAGACATGTGCTGGGACAAAGTTTCCCTTGTTCTTGGTGACTATGGTGAGGCGAACACTTACTCCCTGCCCCCAGTCTCCACTGGTTGGGAGGAAAACCCGTGAAGCTAAAAGCCACTGAAACCTTGGAATTGTTCGTGATTTGCTGCATAACCTCCCACCGCCTACATTTTATTTTCTGTATCCTTGATGCTGTGGCATTTGGGGCCTTGATCCTGGAGACTCTCCCTCGAAGGGCTAATTCCTCACTCCCCTGAGAATGTGGCTTTGATACAAAGATCAACCAATCCACAGCCACACCCTGTCTTTTATCAAACTCTCACGCACTGAACAGCAGTCCCCCGGCCCTGAGTCACCCCTGAACAAGGTACTGCACAACTAGGGAGCCCTCGTGCAGTCCATAGCCTGCCCAAATCGTGCCAACTGGCCAATGCTGAGCTTACTCAACGTACCTATTCTCCTTGTCCATTCCTTCCTGTGAAAACCCCAATAAACACTCCGGGCCACGCTATCCCCTTGCCCTCCTTGCCTCCTGACCAACCCTGGTCTTTCCCCAGATGGCCTTGTGTGATGTGCCATGCTTCCTGATTGTAGGGATCTGTGTGTATAAACTTCTTCCTTCCTGACGATATCTGATCTTTCCCAATAAAAACAAATCCCAGGTACGTTTTTACACTAGAAAAGATGAAGATTGGGATTGGTATCAGACACACTAGATGTTCCAATCCTCTTCCCAATCTCTGGGTTCTGCCTTCCTCTGAGCCAGACTCTCCCCCTACAGATGGGCTTTCTCCATGTGGCAGGAAGAACCCAGGCATCCAGGCTTCATTGCCAGGGCCCAGAGGCAGGACATGGTTTTCGCTGCAGGTTCTGACAGAAAAAGTCATAGGGAAAGACTCAGACCGACCTAGTCTGGGTCATGTACAATCATGAGACAATCCTTGGGGCATGCACTTTGATTAGCACTGAGAGATACGTGCTCCACTGAGGCTGGTAGGTGGGTGCTGGGCAGCCAGGTGCCCGGGCACCAGTGATCGATCTATCATTGCCCTTTTGTGGATGGAATCTGGACATCCGCACCTTGCCATGTCCTAAGGGAGGGACAGTTTGCAGATGGCTGCTCATTTCACAAAGTACTACTGGAAAATGAGACAAGCACTGAATGAGGGAACTAGCTTTGAGGACAATAGATAGAAACTAAGATGTTTTTCTGAGCTAGGATCAGGCCAACTAGAAATATGGTAGGCAAAAACAATCTGTCCTCCCTAACAGTAGAAAACCTCTTAAGTGAGCACGTGGGGTGAGGATTAGCAGACATTCAAAATCGTTGAATTTTCCGGTTATTTTTCGAATGCCCTCTGTATGTCATGCATCCAGATGGTTCTGTTCAGGTCCATCTAGCTAAAGGAATGATGTCCAGCTGCCCAGACCCCTATGCTGCTTCAGGTTACTGCCTTAGGGATGCCCCTGGGAGGCCTAGAGAACAGGGACTTGGAGAGTGGACGATGGGTCACCGGCACTAGAAGGAAAACAGAGCAGTTGAATTTACAAAGCTGAACTCAACCTAAGAGTAAGACCGGGGGCTCTCAATCTGGAAGCAGTGGGCTGGCTCCCAGGGTCCTCGAACTCTTGTCACTGAATATAAAAAATGGAACGTTCGTTTCCTACAGAAAGGATCTGCAGCTATCACAGACTATCGCTGGTTATAGCCCCCAAAATGTTAAGAGGTGCCGTGTTAACAGAAGGTCTCTCGGCTTCCAAGAAACAGCAGAGGGGTGTGGGATTTTTTCCTCGACATTCCTAGTGACTTAGGAGTGAGTTTTCTCATCTCGACTTCAGTTCCAGTATTTTCCAAACGGAGCCGAAGTCACAGAACTCCACGTTCCTCGCAGAGCTCTGTGTGGTAGAGAGAAAGCGAAGAAATCTGGGCCTGCGTCCTAATGAGGCCATTTACCAGCAGGTGACTTAACCTCAATGAGCTGATTTCCTCATCGATAGAGAGGATAATGACATTCACTGTCGCACCAACCCTGTGGCAGTAAATGAAACAGTGACTGCAGAGAGCTTTCCACCTTCCTTTTCTTTAAGAATCAAAGTGAACACGATCGAGCCTTATACGTCCTCACGGTGCTAGTAAGTGCTTTCAGGGACGTGGTATCATTTAATCCTCACAGAAGCCCTGTGGAGGGGGTACTATTATTATCCCCATTTAATTTTTATAAAAATGGGAGAGGGAGAATTGAGAGGCAGGGTTGGCTTCCAACCCTGGCAGCCCGACTGGAGCCCATCCTCTGGCCCAAGGGCTCTGCCTCCTCCACCCGCCCTGCCGGGCATCCACACACACTGCCCACAGCCACCAGAACAGAGCCCTGACAGCAGGCCACGTGCTGTCACCCCGGGGGGACAGCCTTACACACGCACCCCGCTGAGGTGGCGCACACGTGACAGGGACAGCTCGGCTGTGTGGCGTGTTTTCACCCCAGCGCCTGCAACAAGCACTCAGACTGTCGGCCTTGCTTTCCTCGGCTCCACATGCCAGACAAACACCTGGAGGGCGGTGAGTGTCACAAGCCTGGTTTCAGGTCACACTATGCTCACCAGCTTAGCTGGCAATGAGATGTTGCGACTGTCCTTACGAATGAGAGGCAACAACTCAGGTCAAGGACAGAAGCTTCGAAAAACGTGACTAGAGTCGGGAAGTTTTTAGAACTTTTTATTTCCACTCACTGCCACTTCTTTACCCTGGCGTTGTATCAAGGAAGGGCCCTCTGGCTCCACGACAGAGGGAGTTAGCACCCATTCCCGACTCCCGACGCTGGAAGGACAGCCCGCGCGGTTGAGGGGGGCTCGGGAAGGCTGTGGGCTTGGGCCGGGGGTGGGCCCCACTGCAGCGGCCCCGCTCTACAGGCTCTGGCCGGCTTCTCTGACGGAGAAGTGTCAACTGCTGGCCTCACGTGCGTGAAGCCCTCCGAGTTCCAGGGCTGGAGAAGAACCACTCAGACCTAACGCTGGAAAGGAACTTCTGAGATGAGCTCCACAATGTGGGCCTGAGTTTTCCAGCCAGCCACGCGGAGGCAGCTGACGAAGCAGATGCCCCCTCACACTGCCACAGTGGCGAGGGAGTCTTCCAGACACGGAGGCTTCTGCTCACCGGCTTCAGAAAGAAGAAAGAGGATGAGGGAGGAGAACAGCGCGGGGACATGGCCGCTTCCTCCCGGTCCAGCTGTGCCTTCCGGATGGCAGCCCCCTCCCCGTCCCCACGGCCTGGCCTTCCGGATGGCAGCTGCTGCTCCAGGGGGCGGCCCGGGTGCTGGGAGGCGCACACCACCGGCCGGCAGCTGGGGCCTGGCCGTGTGGCCGACAGCTGCCTGGGGTCATTTGTTGGCCACGGCGGAGAGCTGGTCGCGGATGCGGCCCAGGCCGTCTAGCATAGTGTCTAGCGTTTCCTTACTCAGCTCCACAGTGACCGCCGAGATGGAGGGCTTGTCTCCACACAGACTAGGATCTTCTTGGATCTGGAAAGAGAACAGGGTCCACACGTCAGAGCCGCCCTGTAGGTGAGCCCTGGACCTGGGAGCCCTCCCCCGTTCCAGTGAACCTCTGAACACAGGCTCTTTGCTCAGGCTACAGAGTCCCAGCCCTGGCGTCACCTAGCAAATGAGGACACGGAAGGAGACTCCCAGAGGCTTGAGAAAGGAGTGCTCAGGGTGGGTATCGGAGAGGCCAAGGCCCACTCACCCCTCGGACCCCTGACTCTCGGCATTCGAGTGAGGAGACACTGCACGGGCCCGTACGGGTACTTTACGCAGCGGGCTCTTGGAGTAGTAAGACTCCCGGCACGCAGAAAAACCACTACAGCTCCTACTTATATTTATTTGTTTCCTTAAAAACAAAAGTCAACTCTACTAATGTTTAAAACCTTAGTTGTTAGAGGCACCCATGCCTTTTCATTTTCTTACAGGGGCTGAGTTTCTGGGGGTGCGGTTAAGTCAATACAGCATCACTAAATAAACCCAGACCATAGATGTGTGGTTTAAAAAGAGTCCCGAAAAGACGTGTAGCGTGAAGCTAACACCGGGGAGGCCGGAGCGTGCAAACAAGGGCATGAAGGACTGCAGCGTCCCGAGTCGCTAGCGGGAGCTCCGGCTCAGCCGTGTCACAAGCAGTGGCCTGAGGGACACCAGAATTATCAAGAAGGCAACCTGAAATCTGATGGCACGCCCCCATCATGACAGCTAAACTTTCCCATTAGTGTGGTAAACTTTAGGGGGCAGTGAGCCATTTTTAGAACTTGTTTTGTATTTGTCTTGTCCTTTTAAAATTTCTACTTTTGGTGTATGTTTTATTATGTCTATAATATGTTAGGACAGTAGTGACCATGTACTTGACAGAGAGAGACCGCAT